GGGGGGGGGAGAGGGAGAGGGAGAGGGAGAGGGAGAGGGAGAGAGAGAGAGAGAGAGAGAGAGAGAGAGAGAGAGAATCCCCAGCAGGCTCTGCGCTCTCAGCACGGAGCCTGTCCCAGGGCTCAGACTCCTGAACCATGAGATCATGATCTGAGCTGAAACCAAGAGTCGGACTGAGCCCCCAGGCGCCCCTGCGTGTCAATCTTCCTGCCACCTGAAATGCAAGAGACCTCACCCATGTGGAGAACCTACTTGAACAGTGGCTCACTGGTGTGCTGGCACTGATGGGTCCTCAGCTGCTGGTGTTTCTTAAAGGCCTTCTCACACCCTTCAAAAGTGCACTGTTTGATAAAGGTTCGTTAGACTTTGGAAAAAATCAAAGAGTGGTTCACAAGAGAATTCCCTCAGGAGAAACACACCGTGAAGATTTTATACTTGCTGCCTACTCCCCGCGAGTTACCGTCAAATCCCATGCCAGGAAGCTTTAAAGATTTAACACACTGGAAACAGCAAAACGGTTTCATTTGGGGCAGTCTACCATAATAAACTTCATTAGCCAAAAAAAAAAAAAAAAAAAAGGATGCTTTCAAAATAAGCCATTATTATGGTAGCTAGTAGTTGGGCTAAATTCAGGTATCTGCCAGACAAAATCTGGTTGATGAGCCCTTTAGGAACATTAGACAATAAGCCTAAAAATATGCAGAGAGTTTAAGCATAGAAAAGCATTCATACTTACTACATATTGTTTTTGCTGATTTTCATGTTTGCGTTCAAAATGTTTCTTCAAGTTTGATTTTGTGTTGAATTTCTGATCACAGCCACTAGCTGTACAACTGTAAGAAATTGCATAAATCAAAATATTAACAAACCGAGGGAAGAGAAGTTTTAAGATGTATACATCCTCCTCCTTTATAGAAGTACTGTCCAGGGGGCCTGGGTGGCTGTCGGTTGAGCGTCTGACTTCGGCTCAGGTCACGATCTCACGGTTCGTGGGTTCGGGCCCCACGTCGGGCTCTGCACCAACAGCTCGGAGCCTGGAGCCTGGAGCCTCCCTTGGATTCTGTGTCTCCCTCTCCCCGCCCCCCACTTGTGCTCGGTCTCTCTCTCTCTCAAAAATAAATAAACATTAAAAAAATTTAAAGAAACTACTGTCCAAAGTACAGTATAAAACAGACTTTAACCAACTCCAAAGCATTAAAGCTGAAGCGTCAGCCTCACTCTGACGGGATTACTAGGGAACGAGATGCGTCTTCACCCAGGCTTCTGAAACCAAGCACGTTCATCACACGTCCTTTATGAGCCGGGCACACAGAAGGTGCAAGACATTACTTCCAAAACCCAAACCCTGCTCAGGCTTAACTCCATGTTTAAGCGAAACTGTTTTTTAATTTAGAATCTCAAAACCTTCATTTTGCTTGAAATGTCAAAGTAAATTGCATTTCCAAAGGGAAAAAAAAAACCCTCAAAAACACTACTTTTAGCTTCTGTTCAGAGGTAGAAATGGGTATTTAGAGCAAAACCACCAACCATAATGCCCTCTGGCATATCACCAAGCCATCCTAGTTCCCCTTAATGAGTGTTTCTAGATCTTGCCCTTGAATTACCCAAATTCTTTGTGAAGTTGTGTTTTAAACGTGTGCTCTTCTTGTGAGTCCTCAGCCTGAGGGACGAAGCAGGACTTCTATGACGGCCCTAATCTCAGCCATCACGGACCAGTAAACACGGGGTGACACTGCCGCGTGCTGTGCCGTCTACCGGGGGCTGACCGCGAGCGGGGGCAGCGGGAGATCCCACTGGAAGCATGTGGGAGGCCGCGGCAGAGAACACGACGGACACCAACGGGTGGTGGTTTTGACCCCAGGGACGGAAGGCTGACTTTTAGCTGGGTACACGGTCAACAGAAATAGAACTTTTTCCAGCCTGCCCTGCAATCAGGGGTGGCCACACGGCTGTTTCTGGCCCATCCGGCTCAACGACCACAAAGTGTCTAAAAGGGGGCACTCCTCTTTTGCGCCTTCACCCATCCTGGTGGCTGGAACGCCTAGGATGGCTGGAACTCCAAAGGTCATCTTGGACCGCGACGTCGAAGCCCCAAGATGAGGACGGCAGTGACAAGTTCCAAGGCGCCCAGGTCCTACTGACTGTGGAACACCCCCAGCTGTCCATGTCAGCGTTTCTGTTACACAGGAGAAACAGAGACGGTGTTGTTTGAGCCTCTGTTGTGCTGGGTTTTCTGTCACTCTTGACTTCAATCCTGACACAGGCATTTAACCCAACACCAGTGTGGGGCAAGAGGACAGGGCCCAGAAATGTCCCGACCGGGAGCAAAGAGCAGGCGCAGCGGCACAGAAGACGCGGGCAAAGTTGCAGGGTGGTGCACGGACCGGGTTTTATGTCTGAGAGTCAAGCAGATGGGGCCAGATCACAAAAAGGCCAGATCGCAAAGGTCATTTGCACAATATGCTAAGACCCTGGACTTCGTTATGAGAGCAACACTTAAACCCTGCACAGCTTTAAGAAGGGAAGCCGTCTAGGGCAGAGACAACACCATTCAGGTCGGAGTCAAAGCCTGAAATGCGACCGCGGCCACGGGGGGAGGGGCAGGGGTCCGACCAGAAGAGACAGAACCTGACGACCCGCCCGCTGCAGAGGACAGCCACGAGGACGGGGCGTCCAGGGAAGCTGCCTCGCCTTCGCCGAGGGCCATCGGGTGCACAGGGATGCCACCAACAAGAACGAGGGACAGGAAGGCCGAAGGAAGCAGAGCTCAGGCTGCGCTTCAAGAGACTTGGGCCACGTGGAATTAAGAGGCCAGAGAGAGAGCCGGAAGGGAGTAACACCGAGCTGCCCTGTTCCAGAGGGAACCCTCCCTTTCCAATTCACCCCGGGAATCTGTCCAGCCCCAGTTCCTCTTGGAGATCCAGTTTTTTAAGGAGCATACGGTAGCTTAATTCAGAAACCAGGAAGCATAAAAAGGGACACAGCTGCAAGTTTCCTTCCACCCCTCACCCTTGCCTCCTCCCCCCCCCCCCACCCGGGACTCCCCACTACTCCCAGCCAGGACAGGCGACCTGTTCGGCTTCATACAGATAGAAGCAGATAAAAATGCAGACTCTTCCCGCGTTCTTCTCCCTCCTCCTTTTTACGCACAAGAAGGCAGCCCTCTGTCCACTCTTCTGAACTGTGGTCTTTTGATGAATATGCCGTTGGACACTCACTCACGGCTTCACAGACGGTACCTGCATTTGTTTTTCCGGCTGTCTAGGATTCTACCGTGTTGATACACTTTTCGGTCCCTCCTGATGAGCACACGGGTTGATTCCAATGCCGTGCACAGAACCTCGTAGCGGCATTTAATTCAGCCACAAGTGTATCTGTAGAATAAATTCCCCGGAGGGAAACTTCTAGGCCAAAGACTCTCTCCCGGCCCCATTTTCCAGACCACGCTTCGTTACTCTTTGCTGGGCCGGTCGAACCACATTCTGAAATACGTTAAGCTTCACTCAGGGTCATCTGTTTCGGTGATACGCCGTGTGCTTGAACTGAACACGTCTGCCCCCTCAGGACTTTGTCCCGTTCCCGCTGGCCAGCACGCTGGTCAGATGGAGGTGGCTCTCCACATGGACAAGGGCAGTGAAGACGATCCCGTGCCAGCAACTGACACCTCCCCTGCCTCAGACTGTTTGGACCTTAGTGAGACGTGAGACGCCTCACATGCATCATCCTCTTAAAACTGGAAGAAGTGAACTCAGCTCATTAGAAAACCTCACTGCTCAAGGAGCTGTCTCATAGAACACACTTGGGATACCACATTCTAACATCTGCAGGACGTGCCAAACAGCTGTTTTTCGACGTGGTCTCCCGGATGTAGCTCTGGGGATCTGTAAAGTCGTTACTCTTTTTCCAATGAAAACTCCGTGTTTTCACGGAACATTTTGTCCGGTGGTTCTCAAAGTGTGGGTGCCAGACCAACGGCATCAACATCACCTGAGCCTCTGCTAGAAATGCAAATTCTCAGGCCCCACCCCATGTCTGCTGAATCAGAAATTCCGGGGTGGGATCCAATACTCTGTGTTTGTCCTTAACAAGCTCTCCAGGTGATTCTCACGCTCCCTATATTTGAGACCCGCTACTTTAAAGAAGCCGATTTAAAAGACAAGCAACACCTCCACCCTTTTCAGAGATAATCAGCAACTCCAAGGAAAATACAATTAAGCCTGGTATGGGAGAGGTGAAGCGGCTCGATCTGAAGAAATACAAGATCAGCTATTAAAAGCTCTACTCCTTTATGCTTCTGTCTCTTCTCCCAGCAGCTTATTGGTTCATAAAGACCCTGTTCAGTGCAGGGCCAAGAATCTGCCAGGGAACCATGACCCCATCTAGTCTGAGCGGAGTGTTTCTCGAGGAGGGTGTCCCACTTAGTACACACGTTAAAGGGAGGAGAGAGGATGCCAACTTAGGAGGACTTCAGACAGACTCATTCCTGAAGTCCTCACGAGTGCCCCACACACCCCTCCTCTCTTCCACACGTTCGAAACCCAGGCTCCTCTTGTACCAGGAAGTGCAAGTGAAGGACACTGCACATCCCTGGCCTCACGAGTTAACAATCTACTTTCTTACCAGGTCTGTATGCCAAAAGCAACCTCTTTAAAGGCCGTAAGACTGTTCTCTACTTACACAAATGGCTTTTCCCCAGTGTGAATCAGGACGTGGCGGGTCAGATGGTAGTCCCTGACGAAGGCTTTGCCACACCCTTCACGGTCACAAACAAACGGTCTCTAGCAGGAAGGAAAGAAAAAAACATGTCACTCCTGCCCCAGTCAGTATCTCTGGTACCATTTAAAGACCTAAAACATGTAGGGGACATTTTAGCCAGGCAGGGACTCTGCCTCCAGGGATGGTTTCCACTGAGTTACACAAAGGCCACAACTGCCTCCCGAAGTCGGTGCAGCAGATCCTGCCCCGTCAGTCACACACGAACTTAGCGGGTGGCCTTCACGGTAACAGCACCGTTCACGTGCTCCCAACCCGACAGCAAGCGTCCACAGCAAGCCCCTTACAGATGACTTGTGTGCTGTTAGCGTTGGCCGATGTGCACAGATCGCCACCACTGCATGCTTTTATCCGCTGAAAGCCTATGGCAGAGGAAGGTGCGGGTTCCCTCTCATCCCGGACAATCCCAGGGTCTGTGCTAAGAGAAGGCCTGACACACCCATAGGAAAACGCTCGCAGCCTCACTGCGACCACCGCTTGGGACCCAGGAGGTGGGAGGAGGGGGTCTCCATTCTGAACCTACAGGAAAAGTCGAAACACATCCCCCAAATAACCAGTGTGGTTTATTTACCTATGAAAAACATAGCCCCATGGCAGTCCAGGGGGGAGGTACCGAGGCCTCAAATGTCAGTGCTAGTAACAAAGCAAGTAGACTGGAAGACAGAAGAACTGAATTACCAGGGGAAGATCCACAGAATTTTGCACAATATTTGCCATTCTTTTTGTTGTCGTTGTTTTTGTTTTAAAGAAAGTGCAATTCATTGAGAGAGGCGCAGCTGAGGGAGGGGGGTGCAGGGCTACCGCTCCCATGCCCCGAGGACACAATCTGTCCTTCCCCTGGGCCATGGCTCTGGGGGCGACCCACAGAGGGGACAGGAGGCTCACGCTGCCCCAGGGTTTCTCAGAGAGGGACATAAAAGTGACCATGTGCTTCTCTCCCTGGACATACTGGTTTCAGAACCCAGAGGCTGAGGGGCAGAATGGGCAAGAGAAAGGACAGGAAGGAGAACACAGCGGCCGCTCCGAGGGGAGCCAGTCACTGGGCAAGACTGCCAAGACAGCTGGTGGCACGGGTAAAGTCCGGGACAGAAAGGAGCAGTGCAAACGGTCCGCGTAGAAAAGAGCTGGAGGAAATGGTCAACCTTCCAATGGCAGAGAGGGTAGGGAGCCATGAGGTCACACGAAGGAACGGCCCGGAAGTTAGGTAGGTTTGGGAGCAAAGGCGGGGGCTGCGGGTCCCTGGATTAAGAAGTAAAGGGCTTTAGGGGCGCCTGGGTGGCGCAGTCGGTTAAGCGTCCGACTTCAGCCAGGTCACGATCTCGTGCTCCGTGAGTTCGAGCCCCGTGTCGGGCTCTGGGCTGATGGCTCAGAGCCTGGAGCCTGTTTCCGATTCTGTGTCTCCCTCTCTCTCTGCCCCTCCCCCGTTCATGCTCTGTCTCTCTCTGTCCCAAAAATAAATAAAAATGAAAAAAAAAAAAAAAGAAGTAAAGGGCTTTAGCTGAGGCAGTGTCAGCTGGGAACTGACACTGGGAAACTGGGCAGGTTCCCTGGCCTCCATGAGCTTCCCTTTCCCCAACTGCCATCTTCCAAAGGCTTCCTACTGCCCTCAAAAGAAAACCCAAACTCCAAACCCTATTTGCACCCTGGCCTACAAATGCTCCCACCACACCTGCTTCTCCGACCTCCTCTTATACGGCCCCCAACTCGATCACAATCACAGGTCCTTTTGCAGTTTCTTTCCACCGGGACTGTTTTCCCTTGTGTCTTCCCGGTTGGATCCCTTCCTTCTCATTCAGGTCAAAAGAGACCTTTCCTGACCATCCTCCAGGAGCCCTCAATTTACTGCGTCTCATTCCTACTTACTCCTTTGTCCCCATTCAAGGACAAGGTCGGTGACAGCAGGAGCCTTTTGTTTTGTCGACTACGCCCATCAGAGCTAAAAAGGTACTGGATTGTGAAGGAATGAACGCATGCTGCTTGCAGAACCTCCAGTACTAAGACGTTACCCCCCCCTCCCCGTTCCAGTTCCAGGAGGCCAGGGATTAAGGCAGGTGTCTGCTGGGGGTCGAGGGCGTAGAAAGCATGCGAGTAAATGAATCCTTCCTCTGCACCTATTTACAGATTATCAGGAGACGGTGACGGACCAAGCCTCAAGATCAAACGAGAAGCAGCGGCTCAGGGTGCTTGGAGCCCATGGCAAGGCTGTCTTTGGGTCTCAGAACTTGTCTACCTCTCCTCGGCTCCTCCCTAACCTAAGGCAGAGCTGGTTCGCCTCTGTGATCCAGGCTGCCAAGACTATGGCATAGGTCTCGCACAGGCTTGTGCAGCCACACGCTGCCCCGGGGCCTCTGGGACACAGCCCAGCTGGCGGGCCACCCCATCCCGAGTCCCCGGGCCCGGACGCCACACCCCTCCGTGGCCGGGCCGGCGGCCCCGTTACCTCCCCCGTGTGCTTGCACAGGTGCGCGTCTAACTTCCACGCCTTGTTGTAATTGGCGTTGCAGTCGGGGAAGGAACAGATGAACCTCCTACTGAGCGCGGAGGGCGGCGGGGCGGGGCTCTCGCCCGCCGCGGTGAAGGCGTCGGCGATGGTCAGGGATGACACCGCCTCGGCGACCGAGGCCTGCGGCTCCAGGACGCCTCAGCGGGCGCTCAGCCACGTGCCGAGCCACGGGCGACGAACGGCTGCGCGCGGCCGCCGCCGGACCCCGCTCCTTCCACTCCCGGAGGCTCCCACGCGCGACCCCGCCGGACTTCCGGGAGCACGACCCCGGAGAGGCGGAACTGGAGCGCCGGCGCGCGCGCGCACAACAGGCCCCGCCCCGCGCCGGCGCCGCATTTGCGCATGCTCCAGGGAGCCGCTCGCCGGCCGCGCCCACCCACTTTGGGTGGAGCTTGCTCGCGGTGCCTGCGGCCGCGGCTTCCTCTTCCCCAGCGAGAGGCGCTTTTCCCTGATGGGCTGGCTGTAAGGGGCCCGCTTCCCCAGCGCCCCTGATTTGTGACCTGTTTTCCGCCCGCCACCATTCTCTATAAAGCATAACTTAAATTACATTATTAGTTTGTCTTTTTTATGGATAGATTTCCTGGCATGCTTTATACTTGGTTCCAAAAGTTGTCGGCACGTTTAGAATCTCTTACAAATTGTGAGCCCAGAACATACCCCGGACCAACTAAGCCACAATTTTTGGAAACTCCCTAGGGATTCCGGTGTGCAGGAAATTTGGGGAACCAGTGCCCTGAGACCTTGCTGCTCCGAGTGTGGTTTGCGGACGGGCAGCATCATGAGAAATCAGAACCACAGACCTACTTGAATCAGCGCAATCTCCAGGGGGTGTGGTGCACGTTCAAATTTGAGAAGCGCCGTTTCAGAGGCTTGAGTGAATGGAGGTGTCTTGGTTTTACCAGGATCACTTGTTTAAGGATGTCCTTGGATGAGGGTAACAATGACAGGATGGATTGTCTGATGATCCACCGGGTGTGGCTTGTTCACATCTTGCATCATTCCAAATCGTTAAGCGGGTCCTTATCAGAAGGTGATGAACAGGTCTCTGCAGAGAAGCGCAGTTTTGAAAACAAGCCCGGGGCTTGCCGCCCAGCCCTGATCTGGGATCCTCACATCGTACTCGCTCCTGAGCTCAGTCGCGTCATCTGTACAGTGAAGATGATGATCATAACGCCTGTCTCAGAATGTCATGAGGACTGTACCAGGGCGTCCGGGAAGTGGGTGCACCTGTTGCTTTTCTTGATTGCCGCTCTAGCCCCGCTCCATGGGACAAGGTCACACACATCCCTCGGTCTGACAACTCCCAGAGTCTCAAATGGTTTCCTTTGTGTTGGATCTGGCTTTCTGCTCCTACTGTGCATGGGCGTGGCAGGGTACCTCCCTGAGCTCTTTGAATCTTTCTCCCCTTTCAAGTGGACTGTTAATTACCGCCGTTTTGGGAATGAATGACATTATATGAACCGACAGTTGCATTTGTTACATGCCCCTGTGCTAGCCCCGTTTACCACCAACTTTCAGTTCTCCCAACAGCACTGCATGTTAAGCAGCTACCAGGATCCAGGTCATGCCTTTGTTTCTTCTCTTTCTTTCCTGTGAACAGATCCTTTGCTCCACCTCGTGCTCTCTGCAGTTTGCTCCCCAATGCGTTTTTTCCAATGTCCCACATTTCTAAGTGACAAATGCACCTTTTTTTTTATTTTAACACCAAGCAAACAATCTTACCATCTCCTTCTGTTTACACCTCCTTCCCTCTCTCTCTCCCAGGCAACAGTAGTAGAATTCTGTCTCCCACTCATGAAATCTTAGAACAGTGGTTCTCGGGGTGCCTGAGTGGCTTAGTCAGTTACGTGTCTGACTTCGGCTCCAGTCATGATCTCACGGTTCACGCGTTCGAGCCCCGTGTTGGGCTCTGTGCTGACAGCTCAGAGCCTGGAGCTGCTTCGGATTCTGTCTCTTCCTCTCTCTCTCTCTCTCTCTCTGCCCCCCACCCCTTTCTCTCTCTCTCTTTCAAAAATAAATAAACATAAAAAATATATATTTTTTAGAACAGTGGTTCTCAACCCTGGCTGCATGTTAGAGTCACCCAGGAGCTTTTGGAAATGATGACAGCTGGGGTCTCCGCCCACGCTTGTGAAATCAGAGCCCCAGGTCGTCCTCCTTTCTCTGCCCATCACTGGCCTGGCTGACTTATACACCTGTCCTGTCCATTCCTCTTCTCATGCTCTGTCTAGCTTTTCTGTGCTCTGGACCTAGGCACCTTAAACCCCTTCTCATGAGGCTGCCAGCATCACCTCCCTAAAACATCTAAGATTTTATGGGTTTCAGTGTGCAAGACTGGTAATTGCAAAGCATTTTGAGTCCTCTTAGCTATTATGCCTGTAGTTCAAGTAACAGCACTCAGGTGAGAAATGGGGGCCCTGAGCTCAGCCCCCCCCCCCCCCCGGCAGGCTCCTTCCTCCCTTGGACACAATTCTCAGCCCAGATAAGATCCTACTTCCTCTAGATAAGCCTTATTTAATAACTCAAGCCCCCACCCATATTTTCTGCCTTTGAACTTCTACAACCCTTTCCTTCTGTAGCACTGAGTAGACGGTTCTCAAATGTGCTGGGTTATCTTTAACTATTCAGGCATATAATTTCCTGTTACCCCATCTTGATTTAATCTCCATAAGGGCAGAGTCCGAATCATATTTTGAATATCCAGTGGCAAGGTGACTTGTGTGCCCTGGGTGCTAACATTATTTGTTAGTTAAATGGGCACAGCCATGAACCATTGTATGAAATCATTTTTTTTTAATTTTTTTAATGCTTATTTATTTTTGAAATAGACAGAGCATGGGTAGGGGTGAGGCAGAGAGAGAAGGAGACACAGAATCCGAAGCAGGCTCCAGGCTCTGAGCTGTCAGCCCAGAGCCCGACGCGGGGCTCGAACCCACGAACCGCAAGATCATGACCTGAGTTGAAGCCGGACGCTCAACCGACGGAGCCATTCAGGCGCCCCAAAGTGAGATCTTAAAGGTCCGGCATGAACGTCTTCACCAAGGAATCTTTGTGCACAAGGAACATAATCCCGCTCAAACTAATCTACGTGAAAAGAGATTTAGGGAAAGCGTTCAAGGGAATCTCTCCGCACTGACTGCAGAAAAACGCCTAAGAATCACAGTCATCTGCAGTCTGTTTCTCAGTCTGTCGCTCCTTGGGTCTGCTGTCCTCCTTAGCCTCTCTCCGGGCATCTGTTAGACTAGTCCGGGAAACTACTGGTTTCCCGTGGACGTGGGTGCCTGCGTGTGCACCTATGTATAAGTGTGCCCGTGTGTGCATGTTTTTTCCTGCCCCCTTTCTCTCCGAGGCTTCATGCCCTCACAGCCCCACGTCTCTGGGCTGCATGCCTCTTCACTCTTCTCTGCAGATCAGCTCTTCGATGAGACTCTGAGTTTCTGCCCCTGTAACTGGGGTTTTCCAAAGGCTTTGGCGCAACCCAAGCAGCCCTGACCTTACGTGGTCTGGCCCCTTCTCTCCCCACGGCTACTCATTCCCGAAAGAGAAGCTCAGGCCCACCTGACGTTCAGGCTCTCTTCCCCAAGCCCAAACGGCGTCAGCCTGGAAGGGATGAGACTATGCCTCTTGTAGGTCAAGCCAAAAGGGTAACAGAGACAGAATTCTGATATACCTGTTTTAGCTAGATGATTGCATTCACTGGCCCCAGCTTTTTCGCCACTCTTTGCCACGTGGCTTTGCTCCTCCCATGAAGGGGGCTGGAGACATTTTCTCTCTCCTCGACGCTAAGCTCAGCTGGGAGACTTGCTTTGGCCTTCTGAGAGTGACACCGTGCGGGTTCCAAGCTTGGGCCACAAGAGAACTTGTGTGTGGCTGCCTCAGGCTTCTGCCATTGCCACAAAGGACATTTCTGCTTGAGCCTGGCAAGGGAAAAGGGAGACATGAGGAACAAAGCTGAGTCATCCCAGCTGAACCCAGCGTGGATCAGCCTACATCAGCTGACCCTCCACCGGTCTATGCATCTTGGCCGTAAATGATTGCGAGCCATTGGGTCGTGGGATGAGTTATTAGGTAGCAATTTTGCGGCAATGGCTGAGTTGTACATTCTCTTCACGAGCGCTTTCCCTCCGCCAATCAACATGCTCCAGTATCTCATCTTTGAAACCAAAACCAGGGCTCCTGGGTGGCTCAGTCGGTTAGGTGTCCGACTTCGGCTCAGGTCATGATCTTGCGGTTTGTGGGTTCGAGCCCCGTGTCAGGCTCTGGGCTGACAGCTCAGCCTGGAGCCTGCGTCCAATTCTGTGTCTCTGGCTCTCTCTGCCCCTCCCCTGCTCACACTCTGTCTCTCTCTCTCCCTTAAAATTAAATAAAACACTAAAAAAAATTTTTTTTTAAAACAACAAAACCAACCAACCGAACAAAATTCCTTTATGTCCTTATGCCTCTCCTAACCATTGCATGATTTCACTTCTTCCCTTCACAGCCAAGTTAAAGGAAGAGTCTGTGCCTTTCCTCCTCTTTCCCTGACCATCACCACCATCATCATTTTCTTCATCATCATCAAAATTACAAGCCTACATAAAAATAGAGTGAAGAGTACAGAGAACCCCAATGGACCTCATTTGTTGCCATTCTAACTGCCCCCAGCCCCAACCCCCCCCCCGCTTTTTTTTTTTTTTTTTTTTGGCTAGAGTATTTTTTTGACTTTCTCTTTATTTTTTTATTTTTATGTGTGTGTTTATTTTTTAAGTTACATCCAAGTTAGTTAGCATATAGTGCTATAATGATCTCAGGAGTAGATTCCAGTGATTTGAGCCCTATGTATAACACCCAGTGCTCATCCCAAAAAGCGTCCTCCCTAATGCCCCTTACCCATTTAGCCCATCCCCCCCACCCACAACCCCTCCAGCATCCCTCAGTTTGTTCTCTGTATTTAAGAGTCTGCTGGAGTATTTTTTTAAGTGTATTCATTTATTTTGAGAGAGAGAGAGAGAGAGAGAGAGAGAGAGCAGGGGAGGGGCAGAGAGAGAGGGTAAGAGAGAGAATCCCAAGCAGGCTCCACAGGGTTAGCACAGATCCCCACGTGGGGCTCAGTCTCACAACCGTGAGAGCACGACCTGAGCCAAAATCAAAAGTCAGTCACTTAACCGACTGAGCCACCCAGGCACCCTGCTTATTATAATTTTGTAATTATATCTTCATTCTATTATCATACCCAGCAAAATGAACAGTCGACCCTTAAAACTGTCTAACACCCACAGACCCTCAAACTCAGCATATTCACAACTTCTCTCCTCTTCCTCCGCCCCTCCTCCAGGGTCTTCTGGTCCCAATGAATGGGACCGCC